ATATAGGTAGGATTTATTTTTTTTTTAGAGTAGGATATCTACAAATAAGTGCCATAAAAATCTGACCAAATCTTATCATCATCCCATAATAACTGCACACCATATAAAGGTGCTGAAATCACTCCTTTTAAAATTGACATCCAAAATTTCGGAATTGCATGGGCGGGATTTTGCTCAATTTTCGCCAAAAAATTGCACTCATTACATTAAAAATTTGGGCGGGAAATGAAATCTTTTTTTTTCCTGATTTTCCACATGATTTTTTCGAAAAACTATCATTCCCTCTTTATATATTAATAGATTTCTTTTCCCTATAATACTACCTTGCGGTTGTTCAGTGATATATTTATGTTAACGTTTTATTACCTTGATGTAGCTTAGTTCAAGTATTGTATTTGCTTATTATAATTATATGATATGCGCATGTGTATATGCATTTGTGAATAAGTTAAAACTAATTTATTGCTTTGAAACAAAAATTCAGAAACTACAAGCACATACTGTCTAAAATTAATAAATAAAAAATCTAAAAAATAAATAGTAGTCCAACTGTATAATTGAGTCAAATAACTACAACCTATAAACCATAAATAATAATTATTGTCCAGAAACCATAGTTCATAAATTTCATAGACATCAACATCCAAATTATAAAAACAAACTAATGTCCAAATTTAATAAGCATTAAAAGCAAGCGTAATTGGCATCTTCCAACATTATTCAATCAAATTACTTATTAAAATATAAATTCAAGTAATATCCTATTATAAAAAAAAATGACCTAATAGCTATAATCTGTATCGAAATTAACCTTCATTTTATCATCATGCTCGTCGACCCTTGTTGTAACACCCCGCTTATCAGAGTAACTTTTTCGCAACCTTTTACTTCGATATCACTTTAGAGTAACTTTTTCGCAACCTTTTACTTCGATATCACTTTAACTTTTTCGAAATAATTGCAACTTACTCGGGATGCTACTAAACTCGTCTTCTTGAAAATCCGTTTATCTTTAAACTGTTGTCTAATACTACTTTAGACTTATTAAAAGAGATTTCCTTTAAACTTGCATTTTTTAACATATTATCATCATATTTCTCATAAAAACTTGAAATCTAAAATTCATTAAAATGCAAGTTTAATAATTAATGTGCGCAGCAGAAATATTTGAAACGTGGTTAATTATACAAACTTTATAAATGTCCACATTAAAGCTTGTCTTCATTTTCTTCTACGATCCACACCACACGGCTCTTCTCACACCTCCTCGTTAACCTGTTACCTGAAACTAAAACTCATGGGGGTGAGTAACGAATATGGATAATCATAAACCGATATCTGATCGGTAACTTAAACTTAAACTTTCATTTCTCTGGCCGATGGTTAATCGGATACGTGTGCACACTCTGATGGATATTTCTCAGG